CCAGTTGTGTAAGTAGTATGTTCTTAGAACTTGGCTGTTGTGATATTGTGGTATGAGAAATATATATTTTGTCTTTGACATAGTTCCTGGCTTAGAGTTCCTCATGATTTCCTGAGCAATAGGGGAACATAAGAGACTCTTTTATTCTGCTATCTGATCTGTAACACCAGTTCCTGACAGAGCTCCAGACCTTTATAATTTCCTGACAGAAGCATCTTTTGTTCTAATGAGGGGATCTTAGTGGGCTCCCACATAGCCTCTGGATAGCTATCAGATGAACCTACCGGGTGATTAGAGGTTTGGAACTTTAGGTCTGACCTCTGGGAAGGGCTGACGGTTGAGCTGCTCATCACTGGTCAGTGATTTAATCAGCCATGCCCAGGTAAAGAAGTCTCCATAAAAAACCAAAAGGAGAGTGTTCAGATGAGCTTCCAGATAGCTGAACATGTGAAGTTGCCTGGAGGATGGAGTGTCAAAAAGGGCATGTACGTTCCAGTCCCCTTCCCATGGACCTGCCCCTGGTAAATATAAGTGTTTCCTGAATTTTGTGAGCTGCTCTAACAAATTAGTCACACCCAAGGAGCAGGTTAATGGGAGCTCCGATATATAGCTGGAGGTCAGAAACAGGTGACGACCTATTACTTGCCATTGGTGTCTGAAGTGGGGTCAGTCTTGTGGGATTGACTCCTCAACCTGTGGGATCTGACATTCCAGGTAGAGTGTGCCAGAATTAAATTATAGGACCCATAGCTGGTGTGGAGAAAAGTCCCCACATATCTCTCTCTGAGTAGTGAGCAATGAAACAGTGTGATTTTTCCTTTCTCAGAGCTGTAGTAAATCTCTCTGTAATTAGAAGCCTTCTGAGACATGCTTATCTGTAAGGTGCGTGGAGCAGGTAATGTGTGGCACATGGAGGCCCCATAGAGCTTCTTCTCCCAAAGACTTAACTAAGAGGTCAGGCAGGAAAAGGGGATTTGAGTTAGGATGAAGAATCCCCTGGAAGGCTCATAAAACCGTCTCTTCTGAAGTA